CGAAATATAGTCGATTTACAACGATAAATATTTCGAAATATGAACATTTTTCTCGTAAAATCAATAAAACTTACTCATACCCTGTGTATCCGTTGTAGTTTCTAGCGATTTCTGCCGTTTTAAGCTTGCTTTCCATCACTGTTATTCACGTAATCTACTTTTATTACGTTGGTAAAATCTGTACAGACATCACACCAACCAACTCGCGCGCAAAGTAAGAAGACTATATTGAAGGCTTGAAATTATATTACGATCGATTTTCATCAAGAAATGGGCCAGGAATATTCCACAATAGTGCAAATAATCGTGAAGGCTGATCGCGGAAAAGCGATTGCGTGACGCTCGGTAAGCTGCAAGATAACATGTTATTATATACCAGACGTAAAAACTCTTCAGATTCGCGGTCTGCATTTTGTACCGACTCTGCATTCTGCAGTCTATATTTTGTAAATGGTCTGCTGTCTGCATTTTGTACTAACAGGTATCCGTGGCACCAATACAGTTAATTTTTGGTTACATTTATTCGCACAACACACACAATCTACCACAAAATACCTGTGTGTAAGGTAATTCGACATTTTCGTTCTTTTCCGCGTTAATACTCTTCTTTCCTTTTGTAAGTATGTAGACCACTTACAATATTTCAAGTAATCCACCTAGCTTACAAAAAAATAACTCTTGCATGCATAGCATGCCTATGTTTTGAAATAGATGTATGCCCTTGGCTAAACTTGAGCTCACTATTTCAGTATACTAGTTCGACACCCGTAGTATCACTACACTTGATTCCAAGGATCCAGTACCACCCAGGTATCCCAGTTACCCTGCTCACAGGGTCTAGTTCTAGTTTTACTGGGATACCTGTGGTAGCCCAGTCATAAAATGCCTTTGTTTTTTTGTCGTCTTTTTTTTTTTTTTTTTTTTTTTTTTCCTCCGCCACAAAATGGAAAAATTGCGCAATAGTACCCAGAGGTCATTGGGCCCTCAACACCATGACAACTAACTGTGATCCAATGAGGTGTTCACATGCTGATCACGCGTGTTATCCCTCAACACCATGACAACTAACTGTGATCCAATGAGGTGTTCACATGCTGATTACGCGTGTTATCTTGATGATGATTGACGTTGTCATGCACAGACAGGGCCTGGTCACATGACGAATCACGAGCTTTTGCTTATAAAACTCTTTGGTCAGTTATTTTGAATTTCAACGTAATTAGATTGCGATTTCCAGGAGCATTCTGGCGCAAACGCTCAAAATACTTACAGACGCATATACAAGTCGTATTAATCGCGTCTAATCCACACTGAAAGATGTTATTGAGCGGTAATTTTGGAACGGATTGAGTCGCGAACGCTTGAAAGCCATGAAAGCCTTGAATGCCTTGTATGCTAAGTAAGCCAATGTCTCAGTTGAAAAACGTGGGAGTTACTACATCACGGGCGACGAGCGGGGATAGAAAAAACGACCCAAAT